TTGCATTGTGCACATTGACATCTTGTGAATGTTGCATCTATGCTGCCAGTTGTTGTCATTTTCATCATTGCTAGATCTTAGGCTCTCGGTGCATTTCACTTCCTGATATGTTGCAAGTGGTATCGGAGCTGTTGCAGTGAATCTTGGCAACAACCAATCAATCGATTGATTGATTGGATTGGCGGATTGCCACCAATCAATCTTCGATTGATTGATCAATCAATCAGGAGATCGATCGAACAATCGATCAAACAATCGATCAATCAACCAACAATCATCTGTGATTGTGATTTATTGATTGATTGATTGATTGATTGATTGATTGATTGATTAATTAATTAATTGATTGATTGATTGATTGATTAATTAATTGATTGATTAAGTTGATTGATTATTTGGCAATTTCTTATTTAATCTTGGAAATTTCCCGGAATTATTTATTTATTTATTTATTTTTCCGAGAAATTATTGATTTTTCCGAGAATTCTTTTAGCGAGAAATTATTTTTTTCTTTTCCGAGAAATTATTTTTCCGAGAAAATTGTTTTTCGAGAATTTTTTTTCCTTCTGAGAATTCTTTTTCCGAGAAAATTTCTTTTACCTTGTTTAATTATTAAATGTCTGCATTTTGACAATTTCACGATTTTTCCGAAACTGTCCCTCTACGCTTTCACTGCGTAGGTCTGCAAATTCCCTTCTTTGTTTTTCAAAAAAAAAAAAAAAACCGGCATTTTTTTCCTTTTTGCAACCTACTCCTACTCTGAATTGTAAAGATTCTTCTTTTCTGATTCTCCGCAGTCCGAGCACCGAAGGTTCACATTTGCTTTCTGCATCACCTTCGGTACTAAGTGGGATTGGACAATCTTTTCTTTTTAAATTTACGATTTATTTTTTGATTAGGAAACTGTTCAATTTGGGATCTGTCCGATCCTTCCCACTTGTCTGCTGCCTACCTGTTCCTTCCCCTCCAGTCCGGGTACAGACTTCAGGCACGACTGTCACAGTGCATGCCACTCACTCGATCACAGACCAAGGCCATGGACCGGAAGGCGGGAGAATCCCTCCTGGCCTATGAGGAACGCCTGGCGGCATTCATCCAGGAGGCCAACGATAGGGCCGCTGCCGCGGCCAAGGAACGTAGTCAGAATGAGCAAGAAGAGGAGGCCAAGCGACGGAAGGAGGAACAGGACCGACTTTGTCAAGAGGAGGCAGACCTGCAGGCGGCAGCTGAACACCGGTCACGCCAGCGGGAACGACTGTTCACGCGGGAGACCGTGATCGACGATGAGACCGCACATTGGGTGGAAATGGCATCTGCAAACGGGGCCCCGGAGACTGACAAAGGGCTGTCCGTCGTTGTGCAGATCTCCCACGACCTCGTGGCCACCTGCGCTCTGCAGCAAGAGGAAATCCTTCACCTGCAGCAGACAGTGGACCAGATGCTTACACGGCTGCAGGCCTTGGAGAAACAGCCAGCCGCTGTAGCAGCCGCAGGGCCTTCCAACCTTACCACCCGCGTTCAAGTTTTGGAGGATGACGTCAGCAACATTAAGCGTGTGCATCAGGATTTCCGGACGTCGCAGCAAGCAACAAACTTGCAGTTGGAGACGCAGGTCCAGGCTGCTGCCACCGTGACGCCCG